CATCGCGGGGCCGCCAGTGCGCGTGCGCGGGGAGCCCCTCGGGCCCGGACGCCCCGCCCACACTGGGAGGCCGCAGCTGGCCGCGCTTAGGGGCGGGGTGCGCGGCCCAGATCCGGGCGCACCGGGCGCTGCGGCGGGGAGGGCGCGGCCCGGGGTGGGTACCTGGGACCGCCTGAGTGTCCTCCTCCTGGAAAGGGGCTGAGCATTCACTCATTCACCAGCTCCCGGTGCACTTTCCGGACCTAGGCGACTGCCCTCATGGACCCTCACTCTAGGGTTGTTGGAAAGCTTGGGTCTGGCCAGGCCCAGAGTGGGCCTGGTCAGCGTCCCTGTGAGCGGCAGAGGCCCCTCGTGGGTCCCGCGCTCCCTCGGCGCGTCCCCGCGGTGTATGGAGTCGTATGCCGGCAGAGGAACGGTTGGGGGGGTGGCTTCACCCCAGGGCTCCCGGCTGCCACTGCCCAGGGTGTGTGGCCAGGTGTCCCACAGGTGTCCCTTTCCCAGCCCCTCATCTCCACTCTCCGAGGAGGATGTTGGGATGACAGGCACACAGCTAGCGAGGGGCGGCACAGGAAGCGGCTGCGTCCTGAAATCCGGCCGGATCCTCGAGCTCAGGTCAGCAAAACCCCCTTATGCGGCCACACACTCCTACCAGCTCTCAAGACTGGACCTCCAGCCACTGGGGAAAGTGGGGCACTGAGATTCACAGGAAAGAGGAGCTTACCCACCAGTGACCCAAGCGGAACCCTGGTGAGAACACCAGCAACTCCAGCTTATGGGGATAGAGCAACCCAGGCAGCAAGAGAGGTGTGCCGAGTGCGTGAACTCCTGGGTCCCCCTTAGGAGATAGAGGGTGCAGGGCAGGGGATGCATTAGACCTTCAGTGGCTAATGGGCAAACTGTGAGGTGCTTGGAAGCAAAGCATTAAGGTACGCGTGGGTTTTTCATTCTCCGCAGCTCTGTACATATTAAAGACCCTATTCTTGGGTGTAGGTTGCAAATGTTTGTCCTGGGTTTCTGTTTTGACTTCTCGTTCCGAGGGTTGTGAAATATAAATTACTGATACTTGTGTGGTCAAATCACCGGTCTTTCTTGCTTGTTTAACTAGATCTTTACCGTATGCAAGGTGAGCTCCATGAATCCTTCTTCAGCCTCCAGCTAGCTGTCCCCCACCTGCATTGTTGGGGTGATAGCACATACATGCATCATATAGTGTGAGGTTTTTAAAAAAAGTGCCCCCCACTTTTTTTTTCTTGCCATGAAAAAACCCTCCCTTCGGAGCTTAAGGGTGAAGTGGGACGTGTAACAGATTGGCCGGGGGTGGGGGTGGGGACAAACACCTCCTGCATCCCGGCAAGCCCTCAGGGGAGAGGCGTGTGCCCCAGAGCTCCCATCCTTGGGGACCAGAGGGACAGTTATTCCAGGTCCTTCCAGGCGAACCCACAATGCACCTCTCCTCTCCAGCATCCAGGTCCTGCGCTTGGGATGGGCCAGCACAGCTGTTTGGGAGAGCAGGGAGAATCTAGTGCCCCTCACCCTGAGCCCGCTCGAGTGTCCAGGCATTCCCCGGATGCGGGAGGTGCTCAGGGGACGGGAGGCACGGAAGGACAGCCCTGCCATCAGGTGTGACCCTGGGTGCTGCTTTCAGGTGGGGACAGGCCTCACAAAGGGCCCTTTGTCCTCAGCTTCCCCCGGCCGAGTTGCATTGTTCTCCCCAGAGAAGGGCACAATGGGGCATTGTGCAGAGCAGAAAAGGGCCCTTGTCCAGCATCCAGCTCCCTGGGCTCCAGGCTCCCTCTCCGGGTTTACCCAGGGTGGGCGAGGCCATCAGAGAGGTCTTCTGGGAGCTCATGTTCTATTTCCTCCGGGACCCGCCTTGCTGGGAGCTGACTGCAGAAGTCCAGCGAGTCTGAGGGGCCAGAACCCACGTGAGAGCGGACCTCACAGAGCGGGGCTCTGTGCTTGCCTGTTTCTGCCTGAATTTAATCAAAAGTGCACAAGTATATTATTCGGCATCTACTGCAATCTAGATGAACCTCAAAAATACCATGCTAAGGGGCACCTGGGTGGCTCAGTTGGTTAAACGTCCGACTTCGGCTCAGGTCATGATCTCACAGTTCGTGGGTTCGAGCCCCACGTCGGGCTCCGTGCTGACAGCTGGGAGCCTGAAGCCTGCTTCAGATTCTGCGTCTCCCTGTCTCTCTGCCCCTCCCCTGCTCGCACTCTGTCTCTGTCTCTCTCAAAAATGAATAAACGTTAAAAAGAAGTAAAAAAATATATCATGCTTAGTGAGAGTACCAAACACACCAGGCCACGTGTTGTCTGAGGCCACTCACACGAAATGTCCAGGGCAAGCAAATCTGGAGACAGAAAGTAGATCAGTGGGGGCTGGGGGCTGGAGGCAGGGGGCAGGGGGGCAAAGGGAACGACTGTTAATCTGTGCACGGTTCCCTTGTTTGATGACGAAAATATTCTGGAGCTAGACCGACGTGATGAAGGCTCAGCATCGCGAACACGCTGAGTGCCACTGACCCGTACATTTAAAAATGCTTAAATGTGAGGCCATGTGAATTTCGTTTCAATAATAATAATAATAATAATGATAATAAAAAACCCTACGTTGTATCAGAATCTCCTAGAAGGCACCCATTTTACATTTTGGAGTAAGTCCTGTCATTTACAGCAAACTTCCCTCTTCAGCTAGATTAGGGGGCATCTTACGGCTTTCGCATATTTAGATGTGGGTCCATCTGATGGTCCAAGGAGGCACTCCACTCAAAAACACATCTTGTCTTGTAAACCTTGAGGCTCGTGCTGGGGAGGCACAGGATGGCTCCGGCACACGAGGGTCTCTCCAGAACAACCCTTCACCCACACCAGGAGCCCGGGGCACGGGGCTCCTACGCCTACATTTGCAAGCCAAAAACTATACAAGAAAAAGTCAAGGTGGTTACAGAGGGATGGGTACGGAGCCCCGCGTGGCCAGAGCCAGAGAGGAAGAGCCCAGAAAAAGACGAGAGGGGAGACAGGGAGGCTTCCCTGAGAGGATCCGTCAGCTCAAGACCGGGGCTGGTGTCAGAGAGACCCTCGGACAAGCCAGAATCCCTGTAGGGGGGGGGGCCCCCCGGGGGGGGGGCCCATCCACGGCTCCTCCGGTACAGCCCAGAGCCGAGGCGCACACAGGCCCACAGGCTGGCCGGACTCCCAGCAGCTGCGGGCGGCTTCACGGAGGAATGAGCCCCGCGTCGGCACCTCGTCCAGCTGTCCCCAGGCACCCTGGCTTGGCAGCCCCCGCTGCACCGGGGCAATTGTCCCCGACGTGCATCTGCAGCTGTCTCTGGCACCCACGAGGACCCAGCTTGGGCCCGACCGAATCACCCACCCTTCATTTACCCCAATTTTTCATGTCCCGACATCTGTTGATGGGGGAACAGAACCCACGGGCGCAAACGTCTGTCACTTTCTCCTGGAGGGGTGGTCAGTTTGGGCGGGTCCCACCCTGACTGTGCAGCGGCCAAGACCCCGGGTGATGCTGGCAGGTGCAGGTGGGGGTGGGTGAGCAGGTGCTGGGCCATTTGCTGGTTTTCTGGAACTGTGACTCACGGACGGCTGTTCCGCTTGGCTCGCCCATCTCCTCTCCTGGCACCATCGGCTCCGGGCCACAAGCACGCTCATGCCTGCACCCCAGCGGGAGAGGCGGCCCCGCGTGGCCCTGCACGCTGGTGCGCCGCGACCGCGAGGCGAGAGGACAGCAAAACACCCCGGTGCCGTGGCATTCCGTGGCCGCAGAGCCCTATGGGGCCAGAGAATGTGCCGCGAAGTGTTATCTCTCAGAGTGGGGTCCTGACGAGGAAGAAGTTTTGGAAACCGCCCGGGCCGGGGGGGGTCACAAACAGGAGGCCTGCAGGCCGAATTCTGCTCCCAGAGCTGTGTCAGTCACCAGTCACCACGATAACGCCGCGTAGCAAACAGCCTTGAAGCTGTTGTGTTGGCCGGAGGTGCTGCCCGTCGAGCGGGGCTCAGGTGTCCATCTGTTGTCAGCGGGTCCCTGGCTGGCCCTCGGGATGACCGGGGCCTCTTTCCAGCCACCCACAGGCCATACAGCCTCACCCACAGCAGATTCGACGCTCCCCTCCCGATCGGGCTCCAGAAGGGACCCACATCCAAGGCCCCCAGTTTGGTCCCAACCTTAGTTCGTAGGTGAGACTGAGGGCTGGGCTGGGGGGGCTTGTCCCCAACACCGTCCATCGCTGGGTCTCACCTTCCTACGGCTCTCAGCCAGTGACTAAAGCAGACACTTCATTTCTGAACGGGATGGGTGGCGTTCTCCCTGAAGAGGGGAGGTAGGCCCAGCGGTGGGGACGGGCTCTGGAAGTTGCTAGCGTGGAGTGATGAGGGGTCACAAACGGAGAAACAATAAACACGAGGCGTTGGCTACCACAAGCCCCAGCACCCGTGCACCTCAGCTCACGCAGGGGCCACGCTGACCCCGCAGAACACACAGGCATTCCGGACCCCTCTGCTGCCCAGAGCAACCCCGGAACTCACCCGAAGTCAAAGGGCCACAGGGGACGTCATCAGGTCCCGTGACCTAGAATGCTCTCCTTTCCAGAACTCCAGTGCCTTCTCGGGGAGATCCCCGCAGCTCCCTCCTACCCCCTTCCACACCCTGAGGACAGGAGGCCGGGGCGGGCGGCCAGCTTTCACGCTTTGCTAGAACGCTTGGCCAGCAGGGGTCCTTGCGGGTTTGCAGCCAAGGAAGCGGGCCGGGTCTGTGCCAGCCAGAGTGCCAGGCCCCGAGGGACTGAGGCAGAGCAGCTCCACAAACTGCCCCTAACCTCGAGCTTCAGGGGGCAGACCTCTGCCAGTCCTGCTCTGAGTCTCCCTGGTGGGCTCCAAACAACCACCAGCTCTCCCACTTTGCTCAAGGCTCCCGCCCGAGAGTGTCTTAATTCAACCCTCCTTCGCCAAGTTCAGAAAAATAAATACTTGGGACACAGCGGAACTCTTTTGACAGGGTGTGTTTTAATTTGCCTCTGGCACCGCTGCGTCTCTGGAACCTTCCGCGGTGGCAGAGCCATCCGGGGCCCCTCGCTCCGAAAGAGGATTTTTCTCTCTGATATTTTCATTTCAAGCTAGCATTGGCCTTTTCCGGTCGTAATGGACACAGGGCTCTGCTTCCGAGGGGTCCCGGCTTCGACATCTTGAACCAGAAGCCTCATTAAATCTGAAAGTTAAGTTCGGAAGGACAAGCATAGCTCCCGACAGCCTATTTGGGCTCGAAAGCTGGTTTTCTGGAGTCACCTTCAACATCCTGGCTCCCCTCCTGCATGGGGGTTGAGAAGCCCTCTCCCGGCCCCACTGCCTCTCAGAGGAGCCCAGGGACCAGAACCCAGAGGGGCTTGGTGCACGGGGGTTGGGGCTGGGGCCCAGGTGGTGGGAAAGGGCAGGGGGCCTGGGGACTGAGGTCCAGGGGCAAGAGCCCATAGGAGCCAGGGGGCCCATGGTCCAGAATGAGGGTAAGGTTTGGGGCCCAGGGGAATGAGGGTCCAGGAGGAGGGTGGGGTCTGGGGTCCGGGGATCTAGGAGCCTGGTATCACACAATGCCCATCTGCACAGACGAGGCTTACGGGATGGAAACGTCCAGAGGAAGGCCCAGGCAGACCCCAAGCCTCTAACACCTCAGCGGACTCAGTTTCCCCGCGGGTGGTATGCTGGTGCCTGGCCAGCTCTGGCCAGACGCCTGGCACTCGCCTCCACCCAAGGAGGGCTCTGCATGCAGGCCCCAGGACCCTGCCTGAGGACGGTTTGGGCTGCGGAAGCAGTCTCTGCTTGCCATCAAAGATACACACTGAGACCTGAACGTCGCCGGTGGAGTCAGGAGCCAGGCCCAGGACGGGGAGAGGAGAGATGGATGGGCACAGCCGGAGGCCGGGGGGTCGCGTCCAGCAGGGGGTGAGTGGAAGCCAGAGCAGAGCCCACAGCTGTTCCCGACACATCTGCACAGCACATGTCACTGGGCAGACAGCGTGCGCCGGGCTCAGCCCTCCGGGCTAAGCATTGCCCTCTCCCCCGATCTTCTCAAAGAACCGCCACAGGAGGGGGTCCCACTGCCCTGTCCCGTCCCGTCCCCGGTCACCCCTGGGCAGGGTGGCTTTCCTGATCGGCCTCAGAGCCGGTGACAAGGTGCAGCCTGGAGCACATTCACCCCAACCCGGCGGTCGGGAGGTGTCCTGAGGACCAGCACCCCCCACGGGCTGGCCCAGAACACCCTGGTCCTGCAGGCAGGGGAGGGGGGAATCTGGGCATGATCTCCCGGCGGCCTCTGCACACACAGAAGGCGAGGGGCAGACACAGCCAGCTTCCAAGTGGACATCAGCCCAACCGAGGAAGGGCTTTGACCCAAACCAGAAGGTCCACGCCAGCTGGCAAACTACATCGGGAGGGGTGTTTCAACAAAACGCTTGGCCCGGAGCCCTGGGAGTCTGTTACTGGGGGCCACTGGACTCCTGGCGCCCCTGTGAGCCCCCTCGCCTCTCGATCCGAGACCCAGCAGGGCAGGACGGGGCTGTCTTTGCGGAGCCACTGCTCAGAGCTGATCGCTCATCTTTGTCCTGGATGTTTGGTTTCTGCAGACCAGCCAGTAATTAAAAGCACCAATTAATCTCTGAGACCGAGCTGGGGTTCCCAGGATGTGATGCCAACTGCTTCAGGCTGGCTCGCCGAGAGGCCCAGGTCATGGCTGCAGACACACAGGGGACATGCCGTCCCTGGGGCTCACGGGCCCATGTGGCCTGCGCCCGGTGCCTTTCTCTGAAAGTCTGCACAAACTGTGGACGTGGCCTCCCTGGCTGTCCAAGATGCGGGCCAGGCTGGGGGTAGGCAGAGGTCAACGCAAGGAACGAGAGCGGGGTACCGTTCTCCGTGGTGGCCTCCTCAGCAGCCCTTCCTTCCCATTCAGCCTGTCCAGCGCCACACATGCACACACACGCGTGCACACACGCAGGTGCACACACACACACAGACTTCCTATGCACCCCTAGAAGCCAAGGGCTGGGGGAGTTGGGGGCCCTTTGCCTGGAAGAGGTGTCCCTGGGGCCCTCCAGGCCCAGACTGGCCAGGTCTTGTAGGCTTTCAGGGTGCACATCAGCCTACACTTCCTTCTTCCCAGGTGCCCTTGGAGCCTCTGCCAGGGGCCTAGGTCTAGAATGTTCACGTACATCACCCATCCTGTGCTCTAGGGTCTCAGGGCCTTTGTACATGTTGTCCCCCACTACCCCCCCCCCCTGGGGGGGTGGCCTTTCCTCTTCAAGCAGTGGGAACCTTCAGGTCTCAGCTTAACGTCACCTCCTCAAAGGTGCCTTCCGGGACCCCCCACCCCCCAGCATGGTGAGTGTCTCAGCTCCATGGTGTTTGCCCACAAAATCCCCTGGCACAAAGCAGGTGCTTCATCAATCCTGGTGAAGACAGGAACGAACCACAGCCACACCCTGGGACCCACCCGGGGCCTGCCTACCAGCTGAGGACATGAACTGAGGGCAGCACTAACGAAGGATGAGTCTGGAAAGCACACCGGCAAGTATTACAGGCCTTCCAGAAGGTCAGGAGGCTGTGGGGGCACTCCTGGAAGCCACCCCATGTGTGTGCGGCCGGCCCTGGGCTGACGAGCTGGCACCTGGGTGCCGCCTTGTGGGGAAGTGCACACGTATGCTCTCGGCCAGCCGGGGGTCAAGGCCTGGCAGGATAGGCGCCTCCCCAACCATTCTGCGGGAGCTGTGGGCTGCACGTAAATGACAGGCGCTCACCGGCAGCCCTCCCAACCCCCAGGGTGCTCAGTGCGGCCCAGGGGACGTGAGGGTGGGTCCTAGGACCACACACCCCGCACCAATGTGTGACCTGGGTTTGGCACTCCCCCAGCCCGGCCTCTACCCTCCGAGGATCCCAGTGGCCACCTGTCCGTGACTCTCTGTGGGCCGGCAGGAAGCAGGGAGAGGCTACCTTACCTGGTGTCCCCAGTGCAGCCCCGGGTTTCATCGTCCTTGGAAAAGCAGGGCTCTTCATGAAAACCCAGACATGGTGCCCAATGTCACACTGGGTGCAAGGAGGGATGGGGTGGGGGGAGCGTGGAGGGGGGAGAGAAGGAGAGTCTGGGCCAGGTCCACCAGCCTCGACACTCCATGAAACTCCTGCTTGCACTGGCAGGGGGCAGTAAGTTCAAGTTCGGCGGGTACCCCCAGGAAACCTCCCCTTGGGCCCTCCCTGAGTCCTCCAGCTGCACAGTGGGGACCCCAAGTAGAGGGCAGGACCTCTGAGGGGAAGCCAGCACAGGCCAGCAGGTAAGGGTGTTCCCTGGAAGGTGACAGAGCAAAAGGAGACCAGACACAGGACAGGAGGCAAGAGGACAGGCCACTCCCAGAGGCTCTGCCTCTGCCATCAGGTGCCCCCCCCCCGCCCCCAGGGCTGTTCACCTTAGATGCAACACCCCCAGTGGCACTTTCCCGTAAGGCAGGAGATCAGGTTCCCTGGGCAGCAAAGCCCACTGAGAAAAAAAAAAAAAGCAGCGCCTTGGGGTCACCTGCAAGTGGCAAAAAATCTGGGCAGGCAGGCACCCCCCTCCCTCTTAGGCCCTAAGGTGCCCCACACAGGCACCTGCATGTTTTAGATGCAGGGCTGCGGGGTCCCTGGGCAGCCCCAGGGCCAGTGAGGCGAAACCTACGTCCCTAGATGGGCAGCTGAGATGGACAGGGCTCCAAGGCC